CTGTAGCTCTATATATACAGCATTAGGCTCATGGAAGAGAAGAACTGAATCCCGCAACTTGGGAATTGCGTCCAGCTCTCTATCTCTCCCTTCCAAGGAGTAGTTCTATTTCTTGTGCTCCACTGATACAAGATCTAGATAGCTGTTTGAGAATACAGTAGAAGATCTTAAGGTATATAGAGATTCCAATCATACATCCAAATCGGAGACCAAAACCAGCAAGTGACCATACCACGACGACCAGGACGACGAGAGGAAGAGATCGCCGTCGAGATCGCCGCCGTCAGCCACCGCACGCGCCGCCACGCGCCGCCGGAAGGGAGTAGCTGCCGAAGCTTACTCGCGCACGTGAGAGCGCGTGGATCGTCTGATTTCCGATTGGTCAACGCCGTTGACTTCGCCGAGACGCCAGCTTTCTGGATTGGTCAAGTTTGTTCGATTCCGAGAAGATTTGATTTGCGGTCATCTGTCCGGGCCAGCCAGATCTACATAAATTTTAAGCTGTAAGTTTTCTTCATCAAACCTTTAGATCTGCTGCGCATAGGTTTATGTTGAATGTTTGTCCGTGATTTGTGCATATCGAGATCCTCATATGTCCCAACAATTGGTATCAGAGCTTGAGATTAATTCGTTATGTACAAGATCCGGATTAAACTGCTTATATTGTCTATGTGTGCTCAAGCGCAGCCATATATATTGGATTATATGCATAACTTGGTTTTGCAGGAAATAGTTAATCCACTATTATGGCCACCCTTTTATGTGCTTGTGCTTAATTGATGGTTGGTTGTATGGTTTTAAATTTGTTTTTAAAGCCTCGGGATTGTCGAGGAATTATGGATGAATGCTTGTATTAATTGCCCGGGGGTTGACCGGATAGTTTAATTAATTAGTAGAAGGCATGTACATCCACTCGTTGGATCTAGGAATCGATTTATGTAATTTTGTAAATTATATTTTTCGTATTGTGATCGACCGTTGGAGACCGGGCCTTCACAAAGATCCAAAGAGACTCGACAAAGCAAGGATGAAACCGGAACCGGGAGCCAAGGCAGGCCGGCACGGCCGCGGCTTCTACTGGTGGAGGTTTTGTGGAACTTGCAGTACAAGTCAACCGGGATTCTACTGTAGTGGGAGTTCCAGTTGGTTTAGGACAAAAATTCTAATCCAAGGAGAATAAATATTTAATTGGCCATAATAGTGGATATTTATTTATGGCATTAATTATTTATTTATTTATTTATGCATGAGAATAATTGTTGCCTTGTGTGCATAAGATTATTTAGAATTGCATATATTTGTATATATTAAAAATCCTCATTTAAAATACTAAGCTGAGAAGGATATTTAAAGTTAAGATAATTTTAAATTCCTAAGGCATCCATTTCTAA